ATCTCCCCAACTATCCCTGGTGCATGTCCTCCTCCTGCCTCTGCCTTCCTTGGGGGGTTACAGATGGCTGAAGATTCCTTCATTTACCAAGCAGGGGMTATTTCCAGCCATGCTGTCACTTCAGGCTCAAAATCTCGGCTCGTGCACGAGGTCATGGCAGTGGGAAGGGTCAGTGAGCTGATCCTGGCTCTTGTGGAGACGCTGGATATTTGCTTGGAGATGATGTGAAACAGCCAAARGCATCAGCCTTCAGCTGGGCTGTGRAGGRRTCCATCCTGTGATGGCTTTGCTCRTGCATTGGGTTAGATTTGCTGAGCAGGAGTTCATCAAACAGGAGCTATTCCAGCTGCAAAAAGGAGCTTCTTGCTGCTAATACTGGGAGAGAACTCCATCCTCTTGGGTGGGAGATGATTTTTTTATCATTCAAGCCTCTGTGCAAGGCCTTTCTCAGTAATTTATTTGCATACAGGGGTGATGTGCAACCATCTGGGGGGTCAGAAATGAGACATGGAGTCCATTCCCTGCTGCTGGTGGCCTCTCCAGCCTGGAGCTCGAGCTGGGAGTGGCGTGGTGCCCACACCGAGGAGATGACCAAATGTGGAATATGGACATCTGTGTGAACGTGAGCTGTTCTCACAGAGAAAAACATTATTAAGTGACAGTGAAGAAGAGGAAGGCTAGGAAGTGTTTGATGCGATTAAAAGGACCCCAAAATGAAATTCTGCTGTGTGGTGCTGAGGATAATAACATTTAGAGATGAAAATATGTCCTAATAGCGTTCATAAATATGAGAAAACTAAAAATGAAAGCAACCAAAACACCAAAAGAGCTGAAAAATGTATTGAAAACAAAGCATTACATTAGAGACCATGGGTATGTGCCTGGTTTTATCTCCTGACGTTGAGGAGCACTCTGGAGGAAACCAAACCACTTCCCTGCCATCCCCTGTGGGTCTCTCCAAGCTTTAAGCTTTAATCTCCATAGTTTTAAGCCTCTCTAGCATGAAATTGGATTGTTTAAATTTTGAAAAAGAATGGTGGATAAAAAAACAATATCTATGTCATGATTTGTAGATGATGCAACCTTTTTGAGACTATTTYGCACAAAATTAAAAATGCATTTGTATTGGGATCAACTGAAATAATTTGTATAATTTAAGTGAGACTGACTGAAGTGGTCAGTGTTACTCCCAAGAAGTAACCAAAATGCAATGTAAAAATGCAAACAACTTTCATTACACCTTGAATACAAAATATTATGTCTTTCTGGTCTGCAAGACTGGCGTCTCAAAAAAATAAAAAATCAGTTTTTTCACAGGACTAAAAAAACCCCCTCAGGCAGCTTGAAAAGAAATTAAAAGGTAATTAGAATCCCAGTGACTATTTGCACTTTGCTCACTAATTATCTGGGCTGTGACTGCAGCAGAGGTTTGGTTATTGACCTGGCTGAYGGAGAGTTTGGGGGAAGGTGACTGTCCCTCCTCCAGTCCTCTCCTGTGGCACTGGGAGGGAAGTGGAGCCCCTGGGTGAGGGGCTGGGGGCACCTTGGGTTTGGGATTTCAACCCAAATCACCCGAGTCAGSTTTAAACAAGGCAGTGCAGGCATTAATTACAAAGGATCTTGGCAGGGGAGCCTGTGGATCTTCAGTTTGACCAGGGGAGATGTGCTCGGTGCCAGGGCCAGATATGGGCAGGATCTCCCCCAGGAGAACAGCAGCCATGTCAAAATATAAATATAAATATAAATATAAATATAAATATAAATATAAATATAAATATAAATATAAATATAAATATAAATATAAATATAAATATAAATATAAATACATAAATTAAAAAAAATAAATCTGCCAAAGCTGCAGCAGGCTCCAAGGATAGGGTGTAACCCAACAAACCATGGTTAAAATGAAAAGCCATTCACACAGCTGGGCATATCATCGTGGTGTGGGCACCAGGAAACACACACAGTCCATATCACCGAGCTGCTGCACAGGGAAAATGCCCCAGGAGGAGAACACTGTTTGGCCAGAAGCACCTTTTAGACACTGCCCCAAAAAGCCACACTGGGAAACAGCCCCGAACTCTGGGTTTAGGCAGGTGGAGGCTCAAGTTTACCTCTGTTTTGCCTAAGTTTAAGTCACTTGTTCCCTTCCAGAGGCCTTTTGGCACAAAAGTGCCTAACCCATGGGAGGGAGCTCCGCATCCCAGAGCCACCAGCACCACCAGTTTGGACTGCTCTTCTGGATGGGATGGAGGAGGGAAGAGCAAGGGGAGCCGCTGCTGCCATTTGGGGCAGTTACCCACGCTCATGGTGCAACAGAGCACCTGCATCTCTGCCTAAGTAGCATCAATGCTCTCTTTTGTTTCCCTCTTGATGACAGAAGAGCCTTAATTGGGCATGAAGAAATCCATCAAGCAGCAGCCTGGTGCAGCCGCGGGGTCCCCACAGCATCTGGCAGCTGCTGTGCTGCTCCATGGCTGGCGGCTGCCCCAAAATAGCCCAAAATCATCCACTCACCCCAAGCCCTGCTGCAGGAGGTGAATCTGAATCTCTGCTCCTGCTGCTCATGAGCAGCACAAAGGCTTTAAACTCGCCAAGGCTTGGTGGAGCCAGGTCCCAGCTATTTGCTGGTAACTGAGTTGATAAATTGTGTTTCCAACCTGAGGAGCTGCTCAGAGAGCCAGACCAGAGGGCTTGACACAACCCACTAAAGCAAGGGGAAAATTCCAGTTGTTTTTGTGCATATAAGCACAGCAGAGAGCAGCCTGCATGGCAGCAAGGTGAAATGGGAGCTCAGCCGGGGATTTCAATAGCTGCAGGGTCTTGCTCATGGTTTAATGCATTTTTACAACAGGGGTGAACAGGACCCATTCTGGGAACAGAAACATCATCAGCAATTTCATCCCCCTGAATAATTTGCTTGTAACTTGCCTGTGCTTTGATGCAGCAGCTGCTTCAAGGGCACCAGGAAAAAAAAAAAAAACCCTTCTCCCATGCCCTTTCCACCCCTCAGCACAYTCCTGCTGTGCTGCTGCAGCTTCAGCTCAATAATCTCTGTGGGCACAGCGAGGACCTGCTGATGGCTMTGGGTGTCCCCCCAAGGTGGGCAAACCCAGCCTTCCCCTTTCCTTCACCAGCAAAGGGGGTTCCAGGGTCCCCCCATTTCATCCCATGGCATTTCATGGCCTTGCCTCCCCTCTCACCCTTGTGCTCGATGAAAACAAACACAGAATAAAAAATAAAACCCCTGCACATTCATTTAGTTTCCTCTATTTTTATTGAAAAAGAAGGTTTGCTAACAGCAATCAGTACCATGRCCCAGACCCCTTTGATACAATAATTGGCTTTAGCAGTCCCTGCAGCTCCACCCCTGTGCTGGGGACAAACCTGGAATTATCTGGCTTTAAGAACCACTCCTGAATCACGGGATGCTCCTTGGGATTGCAGATTACTTCCACCCTACAATTTTACAATTTTACTCTCTGTCCCAGCTTAAGCTGAGGTTTGCAGCCAGGTTTAGCTTTATTGTAAAACTAAAGTAAAGTAAAAATAAAATTAAAAAAAAAAGGGCACCAGGTTTAAAAAAAAAAATTAAGACATGAAAAATAATTTCCTGGTGCTGGAAAGAAACATCCCCTCAGTGGCAGATTAGCCCACATTTATCCACTATAATGTTGCTTATACCTTAATATTAGCCATCTTCATCTGACACTAATTAGCAGGCTGGAGGCTCCTATGGGTACAGTAGCTTCTGCAGCCCRAAACATGAAAGTGAGCTCTTCCTTTTACCACTTGAAGCACACAGCTTTTAAAGAGACAATGTCAAGTATTTCAGCCCCAAACTGTACACTTTTTAACTTAAAAAAACACAGCAGCAGGAGGAGGCCCAAAGGTTGTGACACCCAGCCTTGGCAGCAGTGAAGGGCACGCCTGAGGTCTGCCTGTGCAGTGTTATTTATTCTCCCACAAATTATACCCAAACAGCCCTGGCTGAACCCTGGACTCACCTGCATTCTGGCACTGAGTGCTAATTAGGAGACAAACAGAACTGGCTACAGAGGCAGAAAATGAAACAGAATCATCAGATCAATCYAGTCGCTTCCCTCAAAACCCCCGAAAATCAGAGAAGAGCAAATGTGGTTATAAAAAATTCTTTATATTTTGGCTTCTGTCTGGGAGAAAAAGAAAAAAAAGGAAAAGGAAAAGATTATTTCTATGATGTTCATCACTAGGCAAGCATCCCGTCAAGATCCATCTGACATCCTATTTAACTGTTGAGAGATAATTAGGGCTTGAAAGCACTGACAGAGCGGGACTCCAGGAATTCAGCACTGTGTGCTGGCTCTTCAGGGAGAAACTGAAAATAAATTATTTAGACTTGAAAAAGTCCCTTGAAGTCCTGTGGTCTTTCTGCTTGGCTGGGTCTAGACCTACCACCCATATTTTGGCAGCTGTTTTTGGAGGGGGAGGGAAGGCAGGCTGCTTAGCGGGTAGCAGTTGGGAATCAGAGGAATTAGAGCTGGATGTATTCATGGTTTTCACGAGCCCTGACAGATGTTGAGTGCCTTTGTGGCACAGTGAGACACTCAGCACTAATGGTGCTGGTTTGTGGCAGCAAACCTCTTTCCTGCCACGTTCCAGCACCTCTGCTCCTTCCCACACTGCTCCTTAGAAAAGGAAGGAAATTTCCGTTCAGCATCCTCCTCACTGTCCCCTACTGTCAGTGCCGATGCTCTCGTACTCTGGAAACCCTCAGATGTGTGAGTGTCACAGCTCTGCTCCCTGSCACCTCCTGGAGATGCAGCTGCAGCCCCGAGGCTTCTCCTGCCCCGCTCTGCCCAGCCTGATGCTCCATGCTGGATGGATCTGGGTGCCAGTCCCTGCGGACAGCGCCGAGCTCCTGCTCGGTGTCACAGGCAGCCCCTGGGCCACGAGAGCCGCCAACAAACCTTCCCTGCCCACCCACCCTACCCCTGCCCCTGCCCCTTCCCCTCCCCGCCACGAGCACGGGGCCAAGGACGCGCCTCGCTGCCGGCGCCCTTGGCCAAACAAACTAACTACCGACCTCGGACCAGTCACGACAAACGGCTCACGGTTACCCATCCCCTAACACAACCAAGGCCACCTTCYGGGTGTAAGGCAAACACCCCCGAGTCCAGCAAGCCCCACAGCAAGAGGACTTGCCTGGGCCAGCCTTGCCAGATGCCCCCGCAGCTCTCCTGCCCGTCCCTTGGTGAACACCGAACAGTTATAATACTCAGGTCAATATATATAGGTACCACGTAGATATATTTGTGTCGCTGTCCTGCGCGTTAACAAAGACAACCAACCCCACCAGGCACCACTCGTCCTTTCTGCCCCCTGCCCTTCCTCCCGTGGCTGTGCAGGAACATGCCCAGGGACCACCCTACGTGGCCCCATCRCACTCCCCCACAGTCAGCTTCAAGGCTCCTTGCTGGTGCAGCGTCTTTAAGGCTTTGAACTCCAAGGGCATGGTGTGCGGGCTGGCCTGCGAGGTGTAGCCGTACTTGAGGCTGTCGTAGTAGTGGTACTTGACCGGGTTCTGGTTCTGGTCCAGGGGAAAGGGCCAGAAGCCGTAGAGATAGATCTGGTTGCAGAAGCGGGTGGCCAGGGTGTACATGAGGAGGCCGGTGGTGGGGCGCTTGATGTGCACCTTGTTGGTCAGCCAGTACCTGCAAAGGGACAGCGCAGCCCGTTACTCACTGCACACCGCGCTCGCGTCCCGCACGCTCCCTCTCTCCAGCCTGAGATGTGTTGGGATTCAAAGTGAGAGGTTTCTGCCTAGCAGAGGTYTCCATGCCAAGAAAAAGCCTCTCTAGGGACTGCATCCTCCTGCTCTCTGTCTGCTGGGCACATCCCACTTGTTGCCATGGCACTGAAGCATCTCATGCCTCGACAATCCTTTATGAAAAACAAATTGCTCGCAACAGCGGCCTTCGGTACTTCAGCCTACAATTATCTTCCAATCAACCCCGGAGATCAATACCACAGACCAAACCAGCCACGTGTCAAGTAGACTCCAACAACCCCTCGAAGCAGACACAGTCAAACACATGCTGATGACTTTCATTGATGAATGAAGATTTTTACTCYGACAGCAAACACGATAGGGCTGGAAAAACATTTGCCTTGGAACAAAGGGTCACCAGGCTGAAAGAGCTCAAATGCACCGCTGAGTTCCCATTACACCCACTGCTGCTGTGATCCTGGCCCAAGATGCATCACCACAGTTGGCAGCACGAGTCCATCAGACACACAATGTGGCACATTGCAATCTATAATGTGAGATATGGAGGTCAGCTGTGCTCGCTGTGGGGAGCACGTTAGCTTTTATGAGGGATGGCAAAAAGAACAGGGGAAGGATGCAGTGATGCAGCAGCAGAAACGGTATCAGCCCTAGGTATTTCGRGCTGCTGATAAAAGTTATTGCAGCACCAACAGCTTGTAAGATGTTTCCAGCGCTCAGTATTTATTGCAAAGGAAACTTATCTGGCTCGCTCAGCAGGAAAACGCTGTCAGAGCAGCAAAATGAAAAAGCAAAAGGTTTGAGGAGCTAGAAATGTCCCCATCAGGCACACTCCCTCCTCCCCCAGCAGGTCTGGTGCCAGCACTGCCCCAGAGCAGGCAGGCAGGTGCAGGAAGCACGTTTTGAGCTGTGCTGCAGCCTCTCTGAGCCCTTGAATTAATTTTAACAGATATTTCCAAGGGCCTGAGCTCAGGTGAGTGACTGGCAGCACTTTGGCTAATGGGTACGAGGAAGCAGAGCAGAGCATGTGGCATTTCTGTGCTCTCACCAGACATCTGGGATCCTGAGCCTGGTCCTGCTGTGGCACTGGAGCCCCTGGAAGTGTCTTGCTACTCATTCGCACTTTCTGCTGGGCTCCTGAGGGTCTGGTGCTCAGACAGCAGGAACCCTTGGGAGAGCTGAGCCTTAATCCTGTAAATTAGCTTTTCAAGAAAGCCATTAAAATTTAGCAACCAAGGCACAAAACGTGCTTGCTTGTTCTCAGCTAGATAAGAGAAAAAAATTGACTTTTCTGGGGAATCCAATTCTGGAAGCAGAGTGACCACCTTGGCATATGCAGGAAGGGCACAGGGATAGTTTGAGTGCCACACCCAGGGGTGTTCAAGCACATGGGGCTTTAGAAAAGGATGAATATGATATTTTGGGAAGGAGGTCTTTGCCTGGCTCATGCTGGCATCCAGCATGAAAAAGGAGCAAGAAACTGGGGGAAAACCAGCATTTAAGTGGCACAGGATCAGCATTTTCTGGGCTGTGGGGACCCAGCAGAGCTCACTGCAGTGCCACGGAAACCTGCTCCCACAGGTAGCCATAAAGCAGCCTCCTTGATGAGTTTATGGGTAAGCACATTAGACCCCCTGTGTGCAGAGGGAAATGGGAGATTATCACAACCACTTAACACTGTGATTTAGGGTATCCTCATGCAGCAGGGAAGCCGCCTGGGAAGAACTGTCAAGCCRTATTAACCAGCTGGCTTTGGGGGAGGACAAATGTCTGCGTTTGTCCTGCAGCTGCTTTAGTCTTAAAACTCTCCTTTTTATCAATTCACCAGATGGAGCACACAGAAAAACACTGGTGACCTTTTGCCCTCCCGAAATATTAACTTTGGTGTTTTGTTGAGAGGCTGTAAAAGCTCTSTGAACGTCCAAGGACGCTGACAGCATGATGAAGTGACTCTTGCACACAGGCACAGGACATTCATGTGAGCAGCACTTTCATGCATATTAACAATGAGCAAAGTGAYCTGGGTCAGGCACTGAAGCACCCCACAGACACACAAACCAGCACACAGAAAACCTTACTGAGAGCAACAGGTGTGCACAACCCACCACCCAAAACAGCCCTAGCAAACCATCCCCCTCAGCACACGCAGCTAGAGAGCACTCACTTGGTAATACTGAGGCAGGGAACACTGACAATTCATTGTTTTATAATGAAAATTAACACCTGGCTCTTTTGTTTGTGCTTCCCTCTGTTGCAGGCAGGCTGTTGCAAAAGCCTTGCTCATGCAGAATTACAAATTCTCGACGCAGCTTAGAGAGGGGGTGATAGACTCCAGGCTGCCCCAACCACCCTCAGATATAACACAACACATAATGCCCAATCCATAACACAGCCCATGCCACAGCTCCTGCAATTCATTTCCTGGAAAGTGGGGATGGGGAATCCTCTYGTGAGGTCTGGGAAATATTTTTTAATGATTGGTTTGTGATGAGAGTGCTGGAGCTATGCAAGATCTTCCTCTTATCTCTCCCACCACTGTCCAGTTGAGACAGCAACCACAATCCTGGTGCARGAGAGAACAGCTGGGGATGGAAATAAAACCTAATTAATTCTGTAAATCCAAATGAGGTTGTCTGGGCGCACATGGGATGCTGTGTCAACAGCGCACCTTTAATATGCGAGGTCCAGGATTTTAATTAGGAGGAAAGATAATCTCGAAGCAGGCAGTAATTATTTTTCGAATTGGCTACACCAATCACCGTAACTATTAACTGCAACATTTTATGGAAAGAGACAGCAATTAAAGGAGAAGAGCAAAGAGCAGTCCTGAAGCCCAGTACCTCTGTTCTCAGAGCTGTTCTCCCAGCAAGGACCTCCTTCAGAAGGTGGTACTGAGTGTGTAAATAAACCCTCAGGGGTGGGTGCAGCTCCTGAGATGGGTGGGAGCRGGACGTGGCTCAGAACAGGGACCATGATGCTGTCAGGGAGAAATTGCCTGAGACAGCTCCGGTTTCAGATCATGATAGTGACAGATGGAAAATGCCATCAGATCTTCAAGGCCATCTTTTGTAAGGAGGCAGCCTAGACACAAACCCTAACACCTTCCTGAACTGAGATTTAAGAAGAGCAGCTCAGAGAGTCTCATCCTACAGCTGGTGGGTGGTTCTGGCTGTTCCTCATCTCCTGATCATCAACTGGAGATGATGAGCAGTCTCCCAAGCAGAACTGTTGCTAGGTGCCTGACCATCAGGGCATGCCACAGGAACACAAATGCTGTTTTGGGACCTTGAAGCCCAGTGGGAATCCTCCAGGAGACAACACTCTGTCCCTAGCAGGTCACAGCTATCCCAAGCCAGGGAAGCTGGCTCCCCACTGGACACCTGGGCACGTGCCCCACACACTGACAGCACTGATCCCACCCCAGCATCACTGATTTGGGGAGCAGACCTGGCCTGGATTTGGGCTGGAATGCTGGGTGCAAAGCTCCTCCCTACAGGCAGCATTCAAGGACTGCTGGAGAGGGCAGGGTCCTGCTCTCTGACTCCCAACCACCTCCTGACAGGCCTAAGAAAAACCTGAAACAACTCCTACTCTGCCAGGTAAGGGTTAACACACAGAATAAAATTAACAAAAAAATCCATTGCCCTGATGAAATRAATAAAAGACTTAGGTCAATGAAGAAATCAAATTTCAGCACTATCAGCTGCGTTATTTCGTGATACAAATCGGAATAGCTGAAATAATGCAATTCCAGACTCTTTTAAAAGAGCTAATTCATAAAAGTGTGATATAAACACAAGCTGTTGTGGAGGTGCTAGTCCTTGACTGGCAGCAGTGGATTATCAGTCTGCCACACAYATCCTGCTCCCAGTAACGCCCAGGAAAAATCAGAAAAAACACAAATCAGAGCCAGTGGCCCAACTGACACTGGCGCAGGTGGGGACAGGACCTGCTGGTGCTGGCAGGGCACAGAACATATCCCAGAGCTGGGTGGCTGGAGATGAACTACTGGAGCCCAGAGAGCAACTGCTATTCCCCCTTTTCAGCTTCTTCCAGCCCTTTTCTGTTCAGGTATCAAGTCTCTCCTCTGTCAGCTCCACCAGAAGAGCAAGAGCCACATACAATGATGAGAGCTGTACGGACAAGTGGAAGTGGGTATGTCCCCTTCCAGAAGCTAACACAGATTCCAGAAACTGGATCTGGTGTCAGGAAGGCTTTATCCACAGGCTGGGCAAAGCCAAACACCAAACCCAGCCTCCTGGTCCAGACTGGATCCATACTGTGTGGCCAGACTCCGGTTCTGAGCCACAGATAAACAACTCTCTTCTCCTCCASGTCTTGAGCTCTGAAGTGCCCTTTCAAACACACATGGTACTCAACACCCTCAAGTTATAGCATTTTCAAAGAGACAGAAAAGGAAAATAATTGAGAATAACCTTACTTCTCTCACCTTTCCTTTCTGTGCCTTTCACTTCTTTTGATAAAGACTAAATCTTACGGATTAACAGAAACAACTTAATTCTCTTGGGCCCCTGTGCAGACACCACAGCTCGGGTTCAATGTGCCTCAAGTGCAGAAGGGGTGAGGATAATGGCTCACACAAGGATTTTTTGTCAGGATATCCACTGATCTAACCCACACACGGCTTTATGGGGTATTCACAGTTCACATCCCACTCCAGTCACACACTTGTGAATGGCTGTTTTCTTTCCCTACACCCTTTGGACATCTTTATCCCTCACCTGAGTGCAGRACCACAATCCTTAAGCCATTTAATATTCAGGGGAAGGGCTTTAAGGCACAAGACYCCATGGCAGGTATTTCAGAGGAGCCCCTGTAAGCATGAAACACCACAAGGGAGGAAGCACAAGCAGCTGGTTTAGAAAACCCACAAGTGGGTGATGCTGGCCAGACACYGGCGGATACAGCAGAACTGATTTCAAGACAGAGGAAAGCTGAGTGGGGAGGGCTGGGAAAAGGAAAAGCAGGAGCTTAGGCTGGAGGAGCTTAGGTTAGAGGAAAGGTGAGGCTGCAGAGGGATGGAAAAGAGTGCAGTCAAAGCAATGGGTCAGCAGAATCCTCTGCACACAGCTCCTGTGTGGCTGCAGGTATGGCAAAGGCTGTTGGAAGGGGTGTGGCGTAATGGGGACAAAGGCGAGGAGGGAGCAGGCGAGGGTTTCCACCACAAAGGTGGCTGACAGGAAAGGCATCGTGCTCTGAAAACCCAGCCAAGGCTCAGCCCCTGTTTGGGGGTGAGGACCCAGGCAGACAGACATCCAAGGCACAGATGAAAGCACCTTGTGGCCTGTCAGGCTGCAGTTCTGTGTGCACGTGGTGCCCTGGACCCTGGGCAAGGCGATCGCTGTCCCGAGGAGYGCACGCCAGCTGTCACAGCTATTTGGATGTTGAACCTAACACGAGACCAAGCCAAGGAGCTGGAAGCTTTATTGATTTTTAATTTTGGTTTTCTTTCAAGGAGCATTTAACAAAATCTCACAGGATTGGAATTGGTTACTGCCAAGAGATCCTCGTGATGGACACAGTGAGAAATGCTACAGCAGATCAGACAGAGCAAGCTGTGTCTGTGAATTCGCTGCAAGGAGTGACAGACAAACCTCCAGACACAATTAATTTTCCCTCTCTACCTGCATTTCATGTTATTTCTCTCACAAAAGCTGCTTGGCAATAGGGATTACGAGGCTTTTTGGAGACACTAACAGATGACTTATAAGGGGCTTGCTTGCTCCCCAGCCAGGTGAGGAGCACGGRGCTCGCCAGATGAGACATTTTACAGAACCACTGCAAAGTGAGGCACGCACAGCCCCTGAAACACAGAGCACTGTCCCCAGGAGCTGGCTCCCTGCCACCAAACTGCTCCCCTCTTCAGCCCAGGGGGTTGAAGGAGCTCCTCCATCGGAATGCTGAAGGCTGTCTGCCCTCCTGGTGTGAGCTGAACCGTGAGAGAAGAGCCTCCGTCCTATTGCACCRATTATCCGGAATGAACAACACAAAAAGCTATCAGCAAACATTTAAGGCACCCTCGCAGCAAGAAAGGTGAGGTCTCAAATGATGCTGTTAAGGACAACAAAACCAAATGCTTTTTACTTATCTCAGCAATGCACACTCTACAAACGCCCCGAAATGCACTGAAAATTATAGGAAAAATGCTCAATTGCCACTAAAATGTGTTTKGGTTTGAGCGAAAGCAGAGCAGGACAATAAATACCGTGGTTCAAGGAGGAGTCAAGGGCTCACAAGTATGTTTTGCTGGTAGTGGAGGAAGAAAAGGCAAGGCTTTTGTGGCGAAATTAAAGTTGGCTGAGATGTCAGCCTTTGTAGCAAGTGCTATTCCTTCGGGGGGAAAAAAAAAAAGAGTGCCTTGGCTGAAAAACTTGTCCCATTTCTCATTTCTTTGTGATTTCTGAATCAACTCAGGATAGAAGATAAAGGGTAGTTTTATCCAGAAAGGGAGAAGATGGGACATCTCTGCAAAGGCAGCCCACTGCAGCACACAAGGCTTTGTGGATTATYGATTCTCTGCTGCACACCACACGCCACAAAATGTATTTGTTTCACAAATCTCACATCTGTCAAACAACAGTGTAGTGCTGTAAACCAGCACAGTCCACAGAGAGAGCTGAGACAGAGGATTTTGTTGAAGATTGTATTCCTCATAAGCAAAAGTATGAGATGGCCATAGGAATTGCACAGTGAAACAGAACATGAATAAATAAGCTCCTCATGATTCTGATCAGTTTGACCTCAGGAAGGACTCCTTCACCCCAAACCTCATCATATCAATTACCCTGAGCAGATGGTCAAGACAAACCTATTGGTACCTGGGACACTTCCCACAGAGCACCAAGAGCATCAGCCACCTCCCTCAGCTGTGCCCAGCTCRTTCAGCTCTGCCTGAACCACTCCTACATCCACTCAAGCCCAAACCTGAGGAGGCTGCACCAAGGAAAGGGTTAACCCTGGCTCCAGCCTTCCCCCAGAACCTTTGCCCCCCAGCCCTGGGTGATCTCTCTGTGAGCTCCTGGGCCAGGCCCCAGCACACTGGGTCAGTGTTGAAGTGCTCCCATCAGTTCTGCCTTTCTGAGAGGGCTGCAGTTGTCATTAGATTAATTGCGAATCAGTAGGCATCCTTATTTTCCTGCTGATAAGTGTGAGAGCAGGAGGGCAGGTCAGGCAGCAGCTCCTTGCCTTGGAGGGCAATCCCTGACAAGGATTAGCACGAGGTTATAATTGAATTAGTGCTGCCCTGTGCTGCCAGGAGCCACCTTCTCATTACCCCCAGCACGGTGCCAGGATCCTGTCCAGCCCAAAGGTCTTGGCTGTATTTCCAAGCAGGACCTTGGAGTTTGCCATCAGCATCGACCACTGTCCAACCACGTGATGGTGCCACATCCATCCCCAACACCACCAGCTCCCTTCCCTTGCTCAGTCTGACTGGCTGCATCCCTCAGAGCTCCAGGAGGTTTGGAGAAGCCCAAACACACATTCCTTACATAGAACCCCAATAAATTCCATAGTACAAAAATGTGCATGTGCAAAAGGAAGACGCCGTTCCAAGCCATAAAGGAGAGCAGTGTCCCTACTCCATGCACGAGACAGTGCTGAACCCTTGGGCTTCTCCCAAAATTCCTGCATCTCCTCCAGCCAGGCAGGTCCTGCCAGCCACAGGTGGTGGCTTCWGCACTGGAGCTGCACAGGGACAGTCAGCCCAGGTGGACTGCAGGGCTGTGGCATGGGAAGGCCAGGAGGATGCTGTGAGTTGGAAGATAAGCTTCAGCAGCTGAGCTGGTGGAGGCATCCTCCTCTCCTGTGGGAAAGTGATGCCTAACCCTTGCCAACTCCTCTGCAAAGCTTCCTATGGGAAGTTTCTGGCACTGGGAATGGTTGCCAGCACAGGATTAGCAGCCTGTTGATTTAAAGGGCTTATTACAGGAGCTTAATTCTATTTTGACAGATGAAAGTAAGTCAATTACAGCTAGAAATAGCTCCGAATTTGGGTTGTGGGGTTTTTTTCCTTCCTGTTTTCCTTTCCTGTGAGTTGTGGTGTCATTTCCTTCCCTTCTTTACCTCAAAGCCAGTGTTTTCTGTAAGAGCCTACCCCACCCCCAAACCATTTACATGAAAGGTTCACTCCTGGGGCTCTCTTTGTTTTACAACCTCCTCATCCCCACCACACCTGTGTCTCCTGTACACCTRAAGATGAAAGCAGAGAACAGAAGGACCTCTTCCTTGCCTCACAGTACACCCATTCACCACCACGTGGCTCTTTTTACCTGATCAGGACCAGACCATGCCACTCAGGCTGGCACACGAGCTCCCTGCCTTGAGAACCTGAGTGAGACTCACATGTGTCACTCAAGCACACGGTGACAAAACTCACTGCTCACTCAGCGCACACATTTCTGCAAGAAAAGCCCTACCCACAGGCTGGGGAATTATGGTGGTGGTGACACCCCAGCAAAGCACTGGAAAACAGAGGCTTGGATCTTGCTAAAGCCCTCACACTCAAAGAGCAGAGCGGGGAGCCCCTGCTCACAAGGTGCTCCTCAGTTCTTATCTGGGAACCATCCACCACCCCATCCTCACTGTCTGCAGAAAGAAACAGCCCAAACCCATGGATCACTCTCCAGCCCTGTTTTCCTTGGGCACAAACCCATGAATGGCTCTCCAGCCCTGTTTTCCTCCAGCACAAACCCAAAGATCACTCTCCAGCCCTGTTTTCCT